AATAAGTAATTTGTTGTTGTAGGACTACCGCAAGAACAATCAGAGAGGAAAATAGTATCTTGATAGCACGTGTTCCAGACACATGACTGGTGACAAACAACTGTTCAAAACTATCACTAAAATGGATGGCGGATCGGTCACTTTTGAAGATAAATCAAAAGGAAATGTAATTGGAGTTGGAAGAGCCCCCCTCAGCTCATCATGTGATGTCGACGAAGTCTACTTGGTGGATGAACTTGGTTACAACTTACTCAGCATCAGTCAACTATGTGACAATGACTATGAGGTTCGTTTTAAAAGCATGGTTGGAATATTGAAGACAAATCAGGTAAAACCATTCTATCCGGGAACAGAGATAGAAATGTCAATACTCTCAGTAATATTGATAGCTTGGGAAATCAACTCTGTCTAGCTTCTACGATTGATGATCCTTGGGTATGGCATAGAAAACTTGGTCATGCTAGCATGCATACTATTCAAAAACTTTTTAAATGGGGTCTAGTTATTGGTTTCCCAAAACTAGATTTTTCAAAAGATCAAATTTGTGAAGCATGTCAATTAGGAAAACAAGCTCGATCTTCTTTCAAAGTCAAAAACATAGTCTCTACTAAAAACATCTTCAGCTTTTGCATACGGACATCTTTGGTCCAACCAGAACTGCTAGCATTGGTGGTAGAAAATATATTTTTGTTGTAGTAGATGATTTTCTTTGATTTACCTGGGTTATTTTTATGAATCATAATTTAAGAAAAATCTTCTGCAAGAAGGTACAACGAAAAAAGGGATATTACATCTCTACCATAAGGAGTGACGGAGGAGAATTTGAAAGCAAAATATTTAAATTTTTCTGCAATGATGAAGGAATCTCTCACAACTGCTCATCCCCTAGATCGCCTCAACAAAATAGAGTGATGGAACGCAAAAATAAAACCTTGCAAGATATGGCAAGAACCATGATTGTGGAAGACTCTCTTCCACACCACTTTTGGGTTGGAGACTTAAAAGGTGCACCTGTCCGCGTCCGCAGGCCTCAATGTTCCCTTCTATCCTGTTCTTTTCTTATTTCTTTACATATTTATAGACAATGATGTATAGGAGTGTTCAGTACTGTATCTAGAGCTTGTGACTTGTATTTACACCGGGTTTTTGGGAGATGTACATGTTGAGTTGCAGATTTTATTCATAAAGTTGCTGATGTTTTTGAGATTTAAATTATTATTCAGCTATTCCGCATGTTTGTTAGGCCTACCTAATCTTAGAAACTAGGTGTCGTCACGACATCCTACGGAGGGGATTTGGGGTTGTGACAGAACTAATTGTCTGGGTTGTCTACACAATCTTTCTTTTTGTCTGATTAAACTTTACTTTTGGTTGTGGTTGATCAGGCGTGCAGTCGAGTATGCCCCATTTTGCTTGACCATGATTGTTTTAAGTGTATATAAATATGTCATGCATGTTTTATTATTATTAGTTGATATTATCTGTATCTCTTATTGCTCTTTTTGGTTGACGTCAAAGGGGGAGAAGAAAAAGAGTAAAAAAACAGGGGGAGCAGGAATACAAACAAAACGCAAAGACAGGGGGAGTAGAAGTACAACCTTGAAAGGGAAGTGTCCCCAAATCTGTCAAACTCTTTTGATTTATTGTCATCATCAAAAAGGGGGAAAAGTGTTAGGTTTAGAATTTTAATGATTACTAAAAATAAAAATACTTGACTAATGTGAATTACTATGTGTGTAGGTTCACTAATCAAAGCTATGTAGGCGTAAGAGGCGTAAGAAGCAATCAAAGAGCCAACGACTATGATATTCAAATTTTTCCATCAAAGGAATACAAGAAAGGAAAGGTAATCAATCAAACGGGCAAAAGACTTTCAAAGACACAAGGAAGGAAAGGAAATCAATCAAGTACGAGAAATCAGTGTTAGGCTCAAGAGAAAATTATTAGGAAGATAAAGGAGCTAGTCTGCATATGATGAGCGCAAAACACAACACGAAATTGATGCTCACTAACCAAATATAGATAGTTTAATTATCATCTCCACAGGGATTGGATTTAAACAATGTTCAAGTAATTTCTGGCTTAAATGTTATTCAGGATGATTAACACTTTGGTTGGAATGATTATGAACTACAACTAACAATTAAAAGTAAAGCAAATGATAATTGATCGCTAAGAACGGGAGACTAGCAGAATTGGATTGTTATCACTGTGAGAAATAAGGGTCATGACATGACAAGTGAGAGATTGTTATTCTAGAATTGACATTGTTAAATTTCACTCTTAATGTTTTGTTGATTCTCTCGAATTCAACATGTTCTTATCCTATTATTATGATTCAGGTTCCTCTCTCGATTAAGCCTAAACTGTTCAAATAAGCTAATATGAAGTGCGATGAAACTTGCAAGAATCTATTGGTAAAAATGGTCTAAGAGAAACTTCTCTCGAATATTTCTCAATCTTAATTCAAAAGGTGGATCACAAAGCTCCTTCGATTACTTAAAGAAGTACCACAATAAAATAAGACATGCTTCGCAATAATATTCAGTATTACGCTCCTCTTCCTATTAAACACAATAATGAATATAGTCACACCTAGAGTTAAAGCTCTTCCAATAAATTCAAGAAATCAAACAATAATCAAATCCATAAATAACAATCAAGTCACAAAATCATGTCAAACCGTAATAAAAGCTAATCCATAATCATGGAGGAAGTCATCACAAATAGAATTAAAGAGTAAGAAAATATTAATCTAACGTTACAATCCAAACTCCCATATTAAATTAAGGAAAAGATAATGAAATCTTGTGTCTTGAAGCCTCCAATGCTCTCCAAAATCTTCCAAGGTTAAAATCCCCCAAAAATCACGTTTTTAGTATATTTATACCATGCAGGAATGGGTCTGGATGAAACTATTCTTTTCACGTCGAAGTGAGACAACACTACAAGAAAATTACATAGGCACGGCACGCCTCGCATCGCCCCATGCGCCACGCCAATTGGGAAGTTCAGAGAGTGGGTTTTTTCTTTACTCTAAATGAATTTCGCACTAGCACCTTTTACACCGCAGCGTGGTAGTGCATTTTTTCTAGAGTGATTTTTTTTCTTAATTTTTAATATCCAGATTTGGTACTCGAGCCCCGAACACGATTCCGGCTTAATTTTTGGGCTTCTACTCAGACTTTAAAGCTCCAAATAATCTATTTTAGCTTCAAAATTGCTTCTCGAAGTCACATCCTACACAACATAACATATGTAATAAGTACAAAGTACTAACAATTAGGCTCAAATACAATCAAAGTGTAGTAATTAGAGTGTAAAATGTAGCTAAAATACGAGTTTCTAGCCTACCATCAACACCCCACACTTAAACCATTGCTCGTCCTCGAGCAATCAAACTACACTTCACCTCGAGACGACCTTTTCATCAAACAACTTCCCTAACTCATCATGCCAAGAATATTTAAAGCAAACTAAGCACCCCATCATAGCATCCTAGTCTCAGGACTCGATTCAAAAGTACCAAATATTTTTCAAAAATCTGCTCACTTACTCTAACACAGAGGCCAAAGACTTTACCTTTGCTTCGCAAATCATGTGCCCTCACACCAAAGACAGAGACTAGTTTCACACATAATAAAATTCAAGAACAAATAGGAACTCAATATAGAAATAAAACTCACTCTCAGAATTAAAACTTATGTGCTACGGAAGACGCACCATATGCTTGTCTGTAGTGTAATACTCTACTAATTGAGTTCATTCAGTCAAAAATCAAGTAGGACTTTATTTTGGTTGTAATGTAAGTAGCGGGACGGGTAGGATACATTTGAATATAGTGACTACTCCTCCCTGAGCACTTTAATACATACAATTCAAAATCGAAACCCACACTTATTTTGATCCAAACCCCAACCTTCACATCATAATAATATCAGCTCCCAATTTGCTTAAGCACAAATATACCAAGAGCTACCACTAGCAAGGAATTTATTTTTTTCCATACAAAATACATACAAATATTTTTTTTCTTCGACTTCTTCTTCTTTTTCTTTTTCTTTTTCAATTCCCTACAAGCGGCTCTCATTTTTTTTCAAAACAGTGTACCTTTCTCCTATTGCTCCCAGTTCCACTCAAAATCCCGACCGTATCTCAACTTAGCTTTTAACAAGCTCATAAAAACTTCAAGTGCTCAAGAGAGGTAAAGGTTCAAACAAATAGTCAATTTTAAAAAAGGGGACAGACTTGTAGTGTGGTTGCCAAAGAATTAAGATTACAGGCTCAAAGGGATAACTAGGATACACACAATTAGACGAGTAATGGGCATATAATTGGCTCACAAAGAAATGTCTGTATCACTTTCTAGAATGAACAAGACTACTTTTTACTTTGCAAACACACAAGACAAGTTCTAGATATCAATTGACATGCACAGAATATCAACAAAATCTCACACACACCATGACACATAACTCACTTAGGACCAGATCTATCCCGCTTCTCTAGTCAAAGAAGTTAAGTAAAGTCAAAACCAAACAATTTAAGGCACTAAAATACATGAGTCAAGAACTGATCCTAGGCGTCATAACTAAGGCACTCACCTATCTCAAGATACAATAAAGTCAAGAAAAGCTATCTCCACTAATTAGCACTATGACACAAGACTCTTTATTCCTATTTAAAAAAAAATTAACTATACTTGATTCAAGCAAAAATCCTTGGAAAAGGACCGCAGCACAAAAAAACTAAGGGAAAATTATTACCCTACCTAAGAAACTAAAACAAAAATGAAAACAAAAACAATTTTTTTTTTTCGACTTTAATCTCTCAAGAAGACAGTCGAGGAAATCCATCGTTAGGAAAAGTAAAAAAAATCAAATAAAACAAAAGAAAACAAACACAAATATATATATTTACATCCCTCACCCCACACTTTAAATTGTGGCATGTCCCCGTGACACAAATAAAAAGTAAGAGGCAAAGAAAACTCTCTTGAATCATCTAGTCTGGGTCTGAATCGAAGTCGGGATCCACATTGCACGCTCGACCCAGTGCACATATCCATGTTGAAAGTTTTTTTCTGCCTTCGTTGGGTACACCCCACGCTTATCGGGCTTACTCTCTCTAGATGGAGACTGTGCAGTCAACTTGTCTCTAGGTGCCCCTATTGCATCATTCATCTTGAACACCACTCTTTCTTCCCCCACTCTTAGCATGAGTTGGCTCTCCTGAATGTCGACAATAGCTCTGCTAGTAGCCAAGAAAGGTCTCCCTAAAATCAGAGGGACCTCCTTATTCTCTTCCATATTCACCATGATGAAGTCCACAGGGAACACAAATTTATCCACCCGAACTAGCACATCTTCCACTATTCCTTCAGGTATGATCGTGGTCTGGTCCACCAGCTGCAAAGACACAGGTATAGATCTAATTTCTCCAATATCTCCCTCTGATTTCCTAAAAATGGACAAAGGCATAAGATTAATAGAAGCACTTGAATCATACAATGATTTTTCAAATTTAGTACTTTCTAAAGAGCAAAGTATAGTAAAACTCCCTAGATCATCACACTTTTGAGGGAGCTTATTTTGTAGAATGGCACTACAATGCTCTGTGAGCTTGACAACCGATGTCTCTTCCACTTTATGCTTGTTGGACAATATCTCCTTCAGGAACTCAGCATAGGCTAGCATCTGCGAGATCACCTTTGTGATAGGTAGATTAACATGCACCTGCTTGAGCACATCTAAAAAATGCCCAAATTCTTTGTCCAGCTTCTCTCTTCTCTACTTCTGAGGGAAAGGTTGAGCAGGCATATATTTACTCTCTTCATCTCGTCATTCATTGAATTCCTATCCTTCTTCTTTTTCAGAGCTCTAGTCATCCCTTTCTTCTTCAAACCATCATCTGGATATACCCTCACTTCACCTTCTTGATTGTTGCTATTTTTCTGCTCCTCCACAATCTCTACATGTTCTTCAATTAACTCATCCTTTTGTTTTTCAATGGGGTCCTTCAATACGTGCCCACTTCTCAAAGACACCGCATTTATTATTATTTTTTTATTTCTTTCAGTATAAGCAGGGAGAGTTCCTGGAACCCTCTCAGACAATATATTAGCAAGTTGCTTCACTTGTCTTTCCAAGTTTCTAATGGATATGCCATGAGTTTCAAGCCTTTCAATTGTTTTAATAATAAAGGCCTTCATCAGGTCTACCATGCTGGACTGATTAGACCGTGGAGGTTGGTATTGCTGCCTCTGCTATTTAGAAAACCTGGAGCTCCTAGTCCCTGGGGTCTGGAGTTATTCCGTTGCCATGCATTTGCACTACCACCTGGTGAACTCCAAGAAAAACCTGGGTGCCTCTGCCCGATAGGGTTTAAATTATTGCCACTTTGGTAGTTGCCTCTGTCAAATCTCCCCACAGCATTTACCACTTCATCTGTAGTCGAGGCCTGGCACTCATGCGTTAGATGACCTATTCCACAAAAATTACAAACCGAGGATGACTGACTCTGGACCTTGGACAAGGTTAACTTTCTTATCTCTCTGGCCATGGTGTCTAGTTGGGCTTGCACTGATGTGTTAGAGTCTACCTGGTGAACCCCAACTAATTTTCTTCTATCATTACTCTCAGCGAGCTATTGGTTTGCATCTTCAGAGAGCTCATCAAGAATTGCAACAATCTCCTGAGGTGTCTTCTTCATTAAAGGACCTCCAACTGCAGTAATCAGAGTTCGTCGTGAGGAAGGTGTCAGCCCATCCCAAAAGTCCTGGAGTTGCATCCATAATTCGATTCTATTATGCTTTCACTTTCTCACTATCTCCTTGAATCTTTCCTAAACTTCGAAGACTGTTTTAGTGTCCTTCTGGCAGAAGTTGTGGATTTTCCTTCTGAATTTTACTATTTTTGTAGCTGAGAAGTACTTGTCAAGGAACTTTTTAGTCATATCTTCCCATGTACTGATCGACCAAGTTGGTAAGCTTCGAAGCCAGTGCTTTGCTTCATCCTTCAGTGAAAAGGGGAATGTCCTTAAGTAGATTGCATCTTTTGACAATCTGTTGTACTAGAAGGTGTTCATGATTTCCTCATAGTCCATCAAGTGAGTGTTAGGATCTTCATTCGCCTTCCCGCTAAAGGCACAATTGTTCTGAATGGCTTAAAGCAAGACTTGCTTCAACTCGAAATTATTTGCTGCAATGGTTGGAGGTCTGACATTTGACAGTCCCTGAGTGTAGATTGGTCTGGCATAATCACCTAATACTCTTCCAGGCCTGGGAGCCATATTTTTGAATTGGTCTTCAACCAGGGGTCAATTTATATTGAATCTCTGACCCACATCATCTTCGATAGTCTCATCAGCAGCTCTAAGGGCTGCTTCAGCTACTAACCGTGCAGTTTGTTCTCTATGTTGTGATGCCTCTCTTGCACCTATATCTACCTCATCATCACCGTTCTTAGCCATGTGTTCTTGGGTTAAAGGTTACCCCAAGAATTTTTTGGTGAGTTCTTTCTCTTTCCTCAACTTTGGTAGATGCTTTTCCACCTCTGGATCGTACGGAATCACATCTTTTGGTGAAGATTGAGTCATACACAAGAGAAGTTAAACCTGTTGCCCTACACCCAAGAGAAAATCCGTGAAGAATAAAATAAAATTGGTTCCTGAATTAGCATCAAAAACTAATTTTGAACACTATTGATTGCCAATCCCCGGCAACGATGCCAAAATTTGACGAGCGCAAAACACAACACGAAATTGATGCTCACTAGCCAAAGACAATATAGTTTAATTATTGTCTTCATAGAGATTGAATTTAAGCAATGTTCAAGTAAGTTCTGGCTTAAATGCTATTCAGGATGATTAACACTTTGATTGAAATGATTATGAACTGCAACTAACAATTAAATGTAAAGCAAATGACAATTGATCACTAAGAACTAGAGACTAGCAGAGTTGGGTTGTTATCAATGTGAGAAATAAGGGTCAAGACATGATAAGTGCGAGATTGTTGTTCAGGAATTGACATTGTTAAATTTCACTATTAATATTCTTTTGATTCTCTCGAATTCAAGAGGTTATTATCCTATTATTATGATTCAGGTTCCTCTCTCGATTAAACCTAAACTGTTCAAATAAGCTAATATGAATTGCGATGAAACTTGCAAGAATCTATTGGTAAGAATAGTCTAAGAGAAATTTCTCTCGAATATTTCTCTTTCTTAATTCAAAAAGTAGATCACAAGCTCCTTCGATTACTTTAAAGAAGTACCAGAATAAATTAAGGCATACGTTGCAATAATATTTAGTATTACGCTCCTCTTTCGATTAACCACAATAATGAATATAATTACACCTAGAGTTAAAGCTCTTCCAATAAGTTCAAGCAATCTAAGTGTAGTAATTAGAGTGTAAAATATAGCTAAAACACGAGCTCCTAGCCTACCATCGGCACATTAAGAATAAATCTAGTTATACTTCACACGCTGGATTCATGAGGCTGCCCTTGTGTCCTACTCTTAGAGAATACTGCCTCAAAAGGAAAGTCGCACTATCAATGATTTTCCAAGATCTCAGAAAAAGGAACCAGGGACTTCATCGAGCACTATTAAAGAAGTGGAGAAAGGACGTGGAAGACTACACAGCTTTTATCCAAGTTTTCGGTCTTTCTACTTCTTACAAAACAATGTATTCCTAAGCTTACTAGTGTATCAAAAGATAGAGAGAGATAAAAACAAGCTATTGAAAGATTGTGTCAAGAAATCAGTTGTAACTCGTTGGTGGTAAACGTAAGAAAACCACTCTCATTGTAATTGCCATTGAAGATCTAAGAAAACCATTGTGACCTAAGGGAACTGATGTAGGTACCACAACAGCACACAAACCAATATAAAAATCTCTATCTCTCCTGTTCATTTTTCAGTACTTGCCTTTACTTTTATTTGGTGTACTAACTACTGTCTGCAGAATCACGATAGCCAACTACAAGCCAAAGTTAGTCGACTAAAAGAATTTTTACAATTCACCATCCCCTTGTACTTTTAATTTATATCATCCCACCAGCCAAACAATCCCTATGTGTAAAACATTAATTAAGATTTAAGACACATTTAGGCAACGGAATTGACAACTAAGGGTTATAAATTGATAATTGCGAAAATTGTTGGTGACAAAAACTTTGACCAACATTGTTTATGGAGCTTGGGTTAGTTCTAAATGGAATATAAGTAAGAAGTTGTTTCCCGAATATAGTACAAAGTAGAAAACTATTATAAATGGATATTTACATTAACATGCTCTTTCTAATAATTATAGTTAATACTCAACAACGATTTTCAAATGCTATCACTTGTCAAGTACTAGAAAATTCATTTTATGGGTCATTTGATTGTTTTAGTATACATATCATTTTAGAAAGTTAAGTCATTATTATTTTTCTATTTCATCACAACCACTCCAAGAAGGTATATAATCAATAGTTACTAGTTTAAAAACAACAATTATTCAAACATTCATTATTGATATTATGAAATAATTTCTTAAATATTGGGTCAAAACCTTGGGCGAGAAATAAAAGAGGACCGAAAATAGAAATTTTGGTTAGTTTGTCCTTTTTTTAAACCAGTGCTTTAAAAGGATGGGCGTGAGGCAAGGCATTTTATTTAACACGAAAAGGTAAGCCCGAGGCCTAGTTATAATCCCTATGAATCTTTAATTTTTAATATTTTATAAATTAATATAATAAACATATAGATAACAAAAAAAAACATAAAAAATATAGAAAATTCAAGAAAATAATAAAACTATTAGGAATACATTTATCTATATAAACATGCTAACATATGCATGAGCATTACAAAAAGATTTCTTACTTGAAAATTGAAAGACGTAAAGATTCATTATCCCTATATCATGACTATTAACTATGACGGAACGCACTTAGAGTTGTAAAAATAATATTCTAGTTCTTAATAACTCAAAAATAACTATAACAAAAATATAACTTCATTTTTTGAAAAACTAAAATTAGAAAATTAATCATAAATACTCTTTACAATACAAATAGAATAGTTTTGAAATAGATTAAAAAAGGGCAATCCGATTCACTAAGCTCTTACTATGCGCAGGATCCGGGGAAGGGCCAGACCACAAGGGTCTATTTTTGAAATAGAGTCTCTATAACAATTTCTAAACTAGAGTGATACCCCAGAAGAAATTCTAAAACCCAAAATTGTTTTAAAAAGAATAAATTAAAAAGACAAAAAAAAAAACCTTGAATAAAATGAAGCATAAAGAAGAAAGTTGCAAGCAGTGGAGGACAAAGCTCTTGCATAGTAGTTTTACAGACGAAGGATATTCCTTATTCATTAAATGTCAAAAAAGAAAGGATTATGAGATTGGGTAAATAATTATAAAAGGTTTTGAGTTTTGAGTTTTTTTAAATTTAAGAATTTATTATGAGTTATGTTTTGAGTATTTAAGTATCAATCTCCCCCAGCAATACCAATCCTCCCTAGTTCAATCAGAATCGAGAACTGCGGAGAGGTTCTAAAAAAATAATTTATTAAGTAATTTTGGCTCCAATTTAGGAAAAAAGTTGTAGGCTTATGCCCAAAATGTTAGTACTTATGCACAATAATATTTGCGCCTCGCCTAGGACTCGCCCAAAAAATATTTTTTACACTGTTGGGGACAACTATTTAGTAGATGATCTTTTTTTCAATTGTAATTTATGGACATTTTTGATCATAGTTGAAAATATCTTTTTGAACAAACTGAATTTTTTTACCACAATCTAAAATTTTATTACCATTGCAAATGTCATATTATAATATAATATTTTACCTGTAAAGTTAAGCAAATTAAAAATTATAAGAGCATAACTTTTTATAAAGGGGATAAAATCTAAATGGTGACATAAAAATGAGTATTTGCATGACCAATGGAATGAATGTTTTCAGTGAATTTTTCATGGGTGCTCCCTTTTTTATCAATTGTTGACCCTCTTTTGCTTTTTAAACAATTGATAGACCTTTTAGACCATGAGTTAAAAAATCTTTAAGAAAATAAAAAATTTATAAAGAAATTTAGATAACGATTTAAAATTTTGTAGGTTATTGCATTTATTTTTAGTTATAAGCAAATAGAAAATCGGAAGGGATAATTTTTCAAGGGCTATATGTGCACAACTGTTTAAGATTTAATTGGCTATTTATGTAAAGATCCCAAAAATGGACTAAATATATGCTTATATCACCTGTCGTTTATGCTTTGGGTCAGCCCAATAATGGGATAACGGGCCTGGTTGGCCTAATCGAGACCAAGAGGCTATTAATTTTTGGAAATTTTAGCTCCTATAGCAAAGGTTGATACCTTATTTATTATAAATAAATACTCTTTTAAAATATTATATCTCCTATTGTCACGACCCCAGTTCGACCTCCGGGAACATGTCGTGATGGCACCCAGTCCCTACGACTAGGTAAGCCTAAAATGCGGAAAACAATATAACTTGCGGAACAATAAATTAAACTAAGCAAAAATAGAAGGAAAGCTGT